CTCATAAAAAATTATAAAATTACACTCCCTGATAAGGAGGAAAAGCAGATCACGCCAACCATTGGCGAGCACTGTTAGCTCGGAAGATTTCTCTAAATTACAAAGAATGGTTGACAGGTTATTTGATATTGTTTTTAAACAGGTCAGATACCAACATGATAATAAACATATGAATTAGGGTATAGGAGTCAGGAGAAAGGCTAATCAAAATGCGTCTATGAGAAACAAAAGGGAGCAACGGATATTTGATAAGAAAGTGTTTAATCTCTCCAAGTCAGTCTTGGACTATACCACCAAGAAAGTGCTCTCCAAAGGTTTCAACTTTGCATTGCCAAACAGTAAGGATAATAGGGAGGAGATTCTGATAGAACTCATAAGTTTTACCGATCATCTTCCAGAAGAAACTAGAAGTGATATTGAATTACAGGTCGTTCCTTTAATTGATAGCCATTTAGAAATAACACCCAGGAGCAAGAGTGTGAAACAGATCATGAAGGGACTGGACGATGAGGACTAAATGGTGTTGACGGCAGACAAAGGGGGAGCAGTGGTAGTTATGGGTAGGTTGAGCTATGTAGAAAAGATGATGCATGCTTTCGATGACGCTACAAGCTAATCAGTAGGGACCCTAAGGAAACCTAAGTTTATACTCAGTGGTTGCCTGCAGCATTGAGTAGCAAACGGGGAACTGGAGAAGTAGAAGATGAACACGCTTCTTCAACGAGATGCTAGGCCTCAGAATGCATATGGCCTGCCAAAAATACAAAAAGATGGAGTGCCAACTATAATTATTGTGAATAATAAGGGGAGCGTGATGTATAAAACATCACGATTTATTTGTAACCAGTTAAAGCAAATCTCCGAGACGTGGAAGTTCTTAGTCAAGAATTCCTGTGAAATCGTTAACAAAGTCGACGAGCAGGAGATATAAAGTAAGGATTCGCTGGTAAGCTTTGTTGTTGAGTCTATGTATATTAACATCCCTCTAGATGATACCATACCGGCCCTGCAATCCACACTATACCAGCGCACGGAGAGGTTAATGAGCACAAAGTTAAGTAAAAGGTAAGTACTGATACTGACCAACCTAGCAATGCACTGTACATATTTTACTTTTAATGGTAAACTGTACGAACAAACACGAGGTTTAGCCATGGGATCGTGTTTGCCAGCAATTTTAGCAAACAATTACATGACTCAATTTGAGGAACGTTTAATTCAGGAGGCACTTTAAGTTCCTAAATTATTAGTTCGCTATATGGACAACTGCTTTATAATTTGGCAACATGACAAAGAAAATCTGGAGAATTTTCTTGGTTTGATAAACAGGATCAATGAAAAGACGAAATTCAACATCGAGTTAGAAAAGGAATGTGATTTATCTTTTCTTGATGTCCTAGTTAGCAAAGAGGGGCCAGAGTAGGCAGAGATGTGTATAGGAAGCCCACAAATGCAGGTTTCCTTTTGAATTTCTTCTCCAACCAAACTTATGTGGTTAAAGTATGAGATATGAAGTCTATGATAACAAGCAGTCTGCGTCTGGCAGATGTTAAACGTCGGGATCAGGAACTAAGGAGACTAAGGAGAATTCTGGCTGAGAATAATTATCAACGAGGGCTTGTTGACAAGTATTTTAGAATATTGTCAAATAGAATGAAGGGGAATACATATTTGGGGCCAGATAAAAAGATAGATCACTCTACCAGGATCATTATGCTGTCATCGTGTAATCTGTCAAAGAAGATAGACGAATTACTTAGGAGATGGGACATCAGGATCATTTATAAAGAGAAAATAACACTATCCTCGCTATTGCCTTCTTTTCTAGAATATTCTGACCCGCTCTCCAGACCGGGCTGTTACATGATTTTGTGTTCATGTGGTAGCGCCTATGTGGGAGAGACCTGTAGACCCATACATAAAAGGTTATCCGAACACAAAACAGCCCGCAAGAGTATGTAGTTCCAAAAATCGGAATTGGCCGAACACATGGTTCGCACAGGACATCAGATATATTGTTATAATGCCAAACGCTTAGCTGGACATAAGGACTGTGCCAATCAGTAAGAGGAAGATTGAGGAAGCGATAGAAATTAACAAGATAGCCAACACCCTGAATAGACGGAATAAGTGTATGAAGTTAAGCGAAAACAGCTCGTGGCTATTGGTTAGGTCTCAAGCATTTAATAGCACGTATACACCAGCCTCACTGAGCAAGTCCCTAAAGTCTGGACTCGAAATTGTCATGGCACCCTAACTTGGCGCTACAAATGCCCTTATCACTATGCTGCATGTGTACCGACTAAATCCTGTGTTCAAGCATTTACTTAATGTGCCATATTTATGAGCAAACTTATCTACTAATAGTTAACTATAAATGGCCATCACCATTTGGCTCGCTCTTCTATGCTTAATGCTAATTATATGACATTATCTTGCGTTCCGACCCCCAAATGTGATAGTTCTACTTGATTTGAATAGGCTATTCAATGATAAGGAGATGGAGTGTGAAGAGATCTTATGAAATCCGCTTAAAAGAGCCAGCCATACCACATTTAAATAAGCAATTAAGAAATTGTAATAGTGAAGTGGTGGTACAAGGATATAGGATATGTGAACAGACCAGGACAAAAGGAGAGTTACCAAAAGAGTTTAGCAGACAATTGGTCAAAGGATGGACTTCACTTGTCTCTTTGACGAGGTATTGTATGGTGCTAAGACTGGCAATGCTCACTGACGATGCCGACTGCGATGCAGGCGAGACGTCTGATAAT